TCTCAACACGGTCATGCTGCCATACTCCGACGCAGGAGTAGGTGGTACCGAGATCAATTCCGATAGCTGGACCCTCTCCTTTTCCAGCCATAGCGTTAGTGTAGTGTCGGCGCTTGAAAAGAGATCTGAGAGGATACAAGCCACAGCCTCCACTGGTTCTCAAACTTCAGCAGAGCGAAAGGAGGAGGAAAAGTGCAGCACTTAGCTTATATAGTCTTAGGGTTTCGATTTCTTCCAGAATGTTCTGTCGCCCAATTGTTAGGAACTGTTCGATCTGATCAAGGAAATTTCGTGATTTACGGATCATACTTTTCTTCGTTAGTTGCCGTCAACACCGGTTGTGTTATTTATTTATTAAAAAAAAAAGCACCGGTGATTATTCAATACCTAGTATAAAATATTAAATGTGTAATAACAGGATTTATTTCATGATTTATTCATTTGTGATTTTTATTTATCCTATCATTTATTATTTCATTGCACTAATTAAAATTAAAAATGAAAAATGTTATCTAATTTTTGTATTAAATACTTTGAATGGTTCTTCACACGATTAGTCAATTAGACATGCTTAGAAAAACTCCAGGGAAGTTACTGCTATAAAAATGTTCCCTTGTAACTGCAACTTTAATGCAAATCTTTACGTCGCAGGAGCATATCCTGTAGCATTAGCTTATACCAGGTACAGGTGTATTTTAAATACTTGTTTGACGTGAAGAGTGTTCTTGAAAAATAGTTGTTATAACTGATAATTTGATGGACTCACCTTTTTTTTCCGGCTCTTAAGGGAACATTAGTTGGATGATTGAAGCCCAATGATATTGGCTAACGTTCCTGGGAGATGAAAAAATAATTGTGCTTTGAGAGTCTAGTGACCCTAATGCTATTAAAATTGTGGTTTAATGACCATGGGTCATGAAAAATAGCTCCACTGAGCATCACAGGTGCTACGAGCAATGAAATGGAATTAAATAATCTGTGATAAAGAAATTGAAGAGCTAGACTGGACATCAAAAATCAATTAAATTGACAGATGCAATGTGAGTAAGCTTTGGTTCAGAAATTCTAGGCCAAAACCATACATGAAGTCTCCATTGTTATCCTTGTGTAGTCGCCTTAGGTTGACCTCAAGCCCAAGCTCATGGCGATGAATTGAGTAGCAAACAATGTATGTGGCAGCAGCAACAACAAAGTCATGCACCAACGGGTGCTTGTCTGAGCGATTAAGAGCTTAAACAATTTAACCTAAGGTCTTGTGTTCGAGCTTCAAGGTATATAGTCGCACAACTGAGCACATAAAGTATGTATTGGCAGTGGTACCTGCAAAATCCACCACATTAAGAATCCAATTTATATGGGGATCTAGATTAGTTTAGAATGAGGTAGGCGGGCAATGAGCTTAGGATATTCACACTCTCTAGGATATTAGGTGGGAACATAAAAAAAAACACAAAGTCATGTGCATGATGCAACAATTAAGTAAAGATAATGAAAGAAAAAGGAGGTCATACAACATATTTGTTAATGAAGTCGGAACACCAACTTCACTCTGGAAGTAGAGGTGATAATTGGAATAGGCAATGGCAATAATCATAGAGATGTGCGATGGCAAGCACATAGAGCAAAAAAAGGGAAAGAAGAAGGAGCATGTTTCAATAATTGAGCCCCTCATTTTTGTAATCTATTGGTGTTCATATATTTGGTTTAGTTTGATTTCAGGAAAAAAAATCAAACCAGACCAACACCAATCAGTTCACTCATGATTGAAACTTGATAGGTCTTTTGAGAAATTGATTTTGTTTCATTTTGTTTTTGGTTTGGTTCAAAATTGTTAAGCCCTAAGTCAAGTTTCAATGCACTGATTTATTATTTTTTCTTTTTTTATAACTTACACTTAGTTTTTTTTTTTTTACCAATGCAACTTATGCTTAGTATGAGTATATCATTTTTCCTCATAAAGTATGTTTGTATAACCATTCAAATGGTTAATGAGGTTTTTTTTCTAAATATTTTTATTAGTATGAAAATACTAACAGCAAAGTGATCATATATATGCTTCTTCAAATCATTAATTATTTTTTTAGTAAAATCAAATCATTAATTATTAAAAACTAATTAAATTGCAGGCATTTTTTGAATTATATAATTTTATTTTGCTGGCACTTGATCAAGGTATATTTATTATGGATTTATGATGATATATGAACTTTGCAAAAAAATCCTAATAACAATAACCTTTTATTGTTAAATATACATAATAGTATTTTTCTTAATTATAGACAATATTTAACTAACTATAGACAAGTGCCCTTGAAAATATATAATAGAAAATTATAGATAATACTTAACTAATTATAATATATTTTTAACCATTAATTTATAGGTAACTAAATTTAGGAAAGAAAAAAAATTAGGCAAGTTTATAAAAATATATAAAATAAATATAATAAGACTTGATTTGGTTTGATTCAAGTTTCAAGAAACAAAATATTAAATCAAACTAAATCAATCGATTTTGTCAAAAAAAACAAACTTTATTTATAATCAATTTTGATTGGTTTATATCGATTTGGTATTTGATTTGGTGTCGCCTGTATTGTATCAATTTTAAACATCTTTATTCCATCACATGCAAGAACTAGGATAAACAACCATGAGGTTGGCTTCTGAATGAACAAGCATGACCATAGGTGCCTAACCTAAACTAAACATTGGAAGCAATTTTCATCTTTATTTTTTGTTTGAAATTTCTATTTCCCCGTCAAATGATCTGCCGGCATTTGAAAATAATGCAAGATATAGTTGGAAAAACAACTCAACTTGACTCTTAATGGACTCAATTTTAAAATCCTAAAAAAGTTTTCATTTACAAAGCCAGCTTTTAACCTTATAGGCTCACAACTTATCTATTTAGGCTCCCGAGTTATTAAGACTAGCTCTTATGAGTTTGTTCTCTATTTTGAAATTATATCATACTTCCATATACATACCATACACATTTTTAATGCTTACTCCCACTCATACTTATTATAAAAATATCTTATAAAATTACTAAATCACTAAAGTTAGTAGTCAAAAATTTACAAATAGTTATTTCACATATCCTTGTTATTTTTAATGCCTGTTTGGTTTGTGTCTGGAATCAATTTTTTGGTGTTTAATCAATTTTTAAAACAAAATTAACCAACAGCATAATAATGACACAATCGATTAAACACGCTAAAATTTATTTGTTTGTTAATCTATTCATACCTGCTTTTGGTTCCCATTTTACTATGTTAATAATAAATAATTTGTCAATAATAATAACTGTGTTAAATAAAATTTAACAAATTTATTAATATTAAATACAATTTTATCAATAATTTAATTTTAAAAAGAAATATTTTTTATGGTAACTTGTACAGCTGAAATTAATTTTAGCATCCAAATATATTACGTTATAACTTAATCAATTATGATTAAAATTAATCATATTAATTAATTATTTTTATAATTAATTATATCCAACTGAAATTCAAACGAGCATTTAAAAGTTTGAGCAAACGTACGTAAACATTTTTGAAAGAGGAACTTCCGCTGGAATGACAATTTAAGACTATCAGAGTAATTAAATTTCGTTTTAACAACAAGGAAGGGTCATATAATTGGTGGGATTTAATACAGACTGCCCATAATTTGACACTTGACTTTGCAATTTGTGTTTCCATATTTAACATTGAAGTATTGAAAACTTTGTGCTTCTCATATTTGTAGGGATTTAATAGTGATACTTTAAAATTTGTAATTAAAATATGAATAATTTCCAACTTAAGTTCTTATCTTATGCTTAATTAACCGTGAACAACCCAAGGCCCTGAATTTAAATTTTACATATTGTAGATTGTAAATTAAATTAAAATGGCTAATTTGAATTTCAATTAGGTATAATTGATTACAAAAATAATTGATTAATATGATTAATTTTGATTATAATTGATTATGTTATAATGCAACTGATTTGGATATTATCTTTTTGAAATTAATTTTAACAAAATTAAAGATGTTTGAATGATTTAATTAAATTAATTTTAACTGTATAAATTACCATAAAGGATATTACTTTTAAAAATTAAATTATTGATAAAGTTATATATAATATTATTAAATTTTTACCCCCTTTGTTAAAAAATATAAAATATTTTTAACTTAATCTCATCTCTAATAAAATAGTTACAACTTGTCTTCAAATTAGTATTATATTTTCATATTTCTTTCTATTTAATAGAGTGTTTCACCTTAAAATAAATATAAAATGATTTATTTAATAGGGGTACTTTAAAAAAAATAATGGTTATACCTTAAAAAATTAAAAATATTTTATATTTTTAAACATTTAACTCTTCAAAAAATACTTTATATTTTTTAATAGATGGAATATATAATATGAAATTGAGAGAATACGTAGCATGAACGAGGGATAATATTAACAGATAAAACATTCTGACAAGTAATTAATATTCTAACAATAAAATTAATTGAGAGAAGTTGCTAGCTCTAGCTTATGAGAAAACCACTTGAATAATATATTTACAACAATTTGGGGTGTTTGGCAATTTTTCACTGAAACCATGATTTTGTCCGAAAAATTTGATTAATTTTGAAATCCAAGAAGGCACTAAATTGCTACAGTTGTTTGTAATTACTAACTACAATGGGGGTAGCTGTTGCTGGACTCTTCAGGCCCCCAAAAAATCGAAAAAGACTGTTTGCTGGCCAATAAGGCCCAGTTGCTTATGGGAGTACCATCTTTCAAAGCTGGCCGTCGCCTTGAAACCATCAGCATCAAAAGTACAGCCACGTCATGGATCCCGAACAAAAGAGCCGTGCAAAATTAGAAGAGGAATCATTACCGTCGAATGGCCACGATCGAGGGTTGAAATCTACCTAAAGCAGATGACGCGGATTGTTATTTACGCCGATCGCTAACGGTCTAATCCAACAGCGAGAAATGGCTCAAGTCAATTTGGGAAGCCCAAAATCGCACCTCCATATAAACCCTATCCCAAGATTCCTGAGGCACCGCGTTTCGGAGCTTTTGGCGATAGCATTCTTCTGCGTTCGGAGGGAAAGATGTCGGGTCGTGGAAAAGGAGGGAAGGGGCTGGGCAAAGGAGGAGCCAAGAGGCACAGGAAAGTGCTGCGTGATAACATTCAGGGTATCACGAAGCCTGCGATTCGGCGTCTGGCCAGAAGAGGTGGAGTCAAGAGGATCAGCGGCCTCATCTACGAGGAGACTCGTGGCGTCTTGAAGATTTTCCTCGAGAATGTTATTCGCGATGCTGTTACTTACACTGAGCACGCTCGCAGGAAGACGGTCACCGCCATGGATGTCGTCTACGCGCTCAAGAGGCAGGGAAGAACTCTCTACGGCTTTGGTGGTTGATTTCCCCTATGCTTTTTATTTGCTGGGGTTGTAAACGATGTCCCAAAAACAAAAACAAAAGAAAAATCGTTTGGTTGTTTCTGATTGGAAGTAGTGCGAGTACCACTATACGCATTTTCTTAATCCCTTTAATGGCCATGAGGGACGGGACTAAAACGGTATTCAGGTCAAAACGTTGGGTCGTTGGTAGTATGATAATCACGTCTACTTCTTCCACCAAATTTTTGATGTCATGTCGTTCTATAGAATTATGTAGGCGTTTAATAAATTGGTATGACGTTACGGTTGCACTTTATTTAGTGACAAATGGATTGAGAGCGGTACAGGACCTTGTAAAAAGAGAAGAAAATGGTTGTTGGTGAGACGATAATGTAAAATGAGGAGATCATGTTAGGGGAAAAATGATGGATCCGAGTCAGGACCCAACTAAAGAGCCAAAGCATGCAGGCTTAATGTTGCGTTCCAGTCGTACGGCCAGATGTCTAAACTTTTTTTTTTTGCTCCTTGTAGTCCACTCGGTGGAGCTGCATTTTCTGGAGTCGATGTCATCTCCTTGTGTGTGTGTGTGTGTGTTAGCGACTAATGAGGTAACAGTTTGGCGCTAATTTAATGAAGACCTAGGCCAGCGAATCATGAAGTGAAACATGGCTTTTACGTTTTTGAATGGTCGGGATAACAGAGGCAAGTCAGCCTATTGCATTGGCGTTCAATCCCATCGCTACCTGCGTTAATTTGAATTATGCTATAAAATATAGCAAATGTAAAAAGTGGAGAAAAGCAACACGATATAAGAAATAGATAAAAAATAATAGAGTAGAATTCTGATTTACTTATGCACATATATTTTTGAATATGACTTTTATTTATAGGTTTTTAATTATTTAAGTTTTATTTTAATGTTATAAAAATATAAAGAAGTATATAAGCTTTAAAAATTATAGGCTCTTAATAATAAGAAATTTTTTTCATGTTATTCATGAGGATATAAAACGTAAAGAAATTTAGATCATGAGATTTATGAACATTTATAATATTAGATTTATAATACTTTTCCTTAAAATTTATAACAAATATTGTGACTCAATAAAATTTATTAGAAAAACTTAATTGGACAAAAACTTATTGAAAAAAAGAAGTACCTTTTTTTAAAACTCGTTAAAGTGGTTTCATTGAAAGTTTATAAAAAACTTAGGCTTGTTGGTATGATGGAAGATTTTTGATGGAATCGGAATCGGAATTGGAATCAGAATAGAATTAAGTTATAAATGTATGTTTGGTATGAAGATGGAATCTGAATATAATATTAATAAATATATTCTTAAATAGAAAAAGACAAAATGTCCTTATAAAAAAATAAAAACTCAACTATTCATAATGGAGTGTGTTTATGTGGGCACTTATGACAATCATGGAATGTGGTAATTCCCTCATGATGAAGATGGAATTGAATTCTAAGTATTTGGTTGAATGGAATCCATAAGGAATTTGGATTCATGCAACCAAACAAGTGAAAACATGATTCCAATTCCAATCCATTTCGTTGGACCCAATTCTAATGTATCAAACAGGACCTTAGTAGGACAAAACCTTGAAAAGGAAAAAAAAGTACATGATATTTATTTCTCATAGTCTCTCCTTGATAAAATATTACTTCATTCTCCTAGTGATACCATCCTTTTATGTCTTTGAATATGTTTATTCCAATATGATACACTAATTTTTCAAATGTTAGTTGATAATGTTTTAGTAAACAAATCTACAAGATTGCCACAAGTATGATATGTTGAACATCTATATCACTATTCTCAAAGGTCATGAGTGAAAATTTTGTTTGAAGAAATATATTTTATTTTATCTCCTTTGATGTATCTTCTTTAATGAGTTATACATGTATTATCTTCATATAATATTGTTGGAATCTTTTTTTTCAATAACAAACCACATATCTTTTGAATATAATGAATCATGACTTTAGCCATAATGATCGAATGATCACTATTTTGCAATATTAAATTTTAGTGTGAAAAGACAAAATTAGCCCTCATTTTTTAAACAATTTTAGTTTTAAAATTACTTATCATTTTATAAATAGCTAATTGTTAAATTACTAATGGGATTAGTTAAACAAATTTAAATATGCACTGCCCTTTATAAATATTTACTTATTTTCATGAGACAAGTTTCATTGATAATTTAACAGTCCCCATTAAATGACAAGATTTGTTATTAGCTTTGAAAAATGAAAATTTCTCTTAATCGTTTGACAAGAAAATTTTGGTAAATAATAAGCCCATATAAGCTTTTGATATGCAAGTTTGTGTGATAAAACAAGTAACATTTGTAAAAATTTTCATAGTAAATTTTTTAAACAAACCCATTGTTATTAAATAAGTAACCATTTGTAAAATGATAAGTCCCTTTACTAAAATAATTTTTTTTATAATTAGACAAATAAATTTTTAGCAAAATAACAAGATCATATAAGTTTTTGATAATAAAAACAAGTAAGTATTTATTAAAAAATCAGTACGTATTAAATTTTTTAACAAGTTTCATTAGTAATTTAATAAGTTGCCATTTGTGAAATAACAAGTTAATTATTAAGCTCCTTACAGATATTGGTTATAGAAAGTGAAAACAAAGTAAAATATATATAAAGATTTCCAGTGTTTATGTAACAAGTTCAGATTGGTATGTCAAAAGATTATATAAACTTATTATTTTACTGAAATTTACTTGTCAAATTATCAAGAGGAATGTTTAAAGCTAGTAACAGGACTTGTTATTTATAAATAGTTATTTATTAAATTAGCAATAGGAAACTTGTAAAAAAATTTAATATAGAGTGATTTTTTAAATATTTATTATTTTTATTACAAAAAGCTTACATCTTAAAAGCTTATATAAACTTATTATTTTACTAAATTTTTTTGTCAAGGTATTTGGAGAAAATTTTCAAAACAATAACGACATTTGGTCATTTCACAAATAATTACTCATTAATTATTAACAGAGACTTGTTTGTAACATTATAAAGAGAAATTTTCAAAGCAAGTAATGAGACTTGTCATTTCATAATTAGTTTACTTTTTAAATTATTAATGAAGAATTATGAAAAAAAATTTAATATGGAGTAATTTTTATGAATATTTACTTGTTTTTATTACTAAAAATTTTACATGTCAAAAGTTTATTTGTAAACTTATTATTTTGCTAAATTTGATTGTCAAATTATCAAGAGAAATTTTCATAACTAGTAACAGAACTTGTCATTTACAAATAATTATTGTTAAATTATCAATGAGGACTTGTTAAAAAAATTAATATGAAGTGATTTTATAAATATTACTTTATTTTTATTAGCAAAAGCTTACATGTCCAAAGTCTAGATGACTTGTTATTTTACTAAAATTTACTTGTCAAGTTATGAGAAAAATTTTGAAAGCCAATAACGAAACTTATCATTTAACAAAATAGTACTTGTTAAATTATGAATGAAGACTTGTTGTAAAATTATTAGGAGAAATTTCTAAAACTAGTAATGAGACTTGCTATTTTACAAATGATTACTTGTTAAATTACTAATGGTGACTTGGTATTCTTGGTAACAAAATAAGTAAATATTTATAAAAATTAATACATATTAAATTTGTTAACAAGTCCCATAAGTAATTTAACACTATAAATAAAATGCTTTACAGATCTTTCACTATGATTTCCCCTTAAACAAAACAAAGCGAGATACCCACCAAACTGAGATTATCATCCTGGGGACCTTATCTTATCTGCGACAACGCATGCTGTACATACGAAAAGCAGTCTTTTGAGTGCCCGAGTTGATGATTAATAATACTTTAGTGCATATTATACATCAACGCTTTAGCGAGTCAAACATCCCCAGTCACGAGCAGCATGGGTTGTTATTTTAATGATGTATGGGAAAGGTTCCTAACGCAATGACATAAGATAATTACACATTCATTCTCGTAATTGCAATGTTAAGAAAAGTGATTAAATTTTGTTGACTTTTCGATTTTATTTGAAAATATATACTCTAACATTCCAAACGGCACTTAGTTACGGACATGACTGTTCCATTGTTTTATGATCTGGAAAAAAAGGTCCAGCTCAACTGAACTGTGTTACGTGCTTTTACCGTCAAAGAACCATGATAAGTTCGCGAAAGCAAAATAAACACAATTTGAGCTAATTCAACATTGTTATGCATTTTTTCAAGCTACAAGGAGTAATTAGGGGTGTTCATGAGATTAGATATGATCAAGATAGCCTTGTCCCATTCTAGAAAATGAACAGAACTAAATTTTTATTATATATCTTGTCCTATCTCGATAAAAGAGATTGACAAAACGTGAAAAAGAGAGATAAATAATAATATTTATTAAATTATATAATTTGTCAAGTTCAAAAACAAAAACAACACTGATATATAAATTCGATCATTGAGCTACAACAATTATAATTTAAAGTAAAAGAACACAATTATATCTTGAAGTTAAGTACACAATAATCACAAATGACCTCTAGGCTATGGATACTATAACTAACAACAAAACCATCAACTCACATAATTTGAGTGAGTGGATGGTTATGTGAAAATAAAATAAAATAAATAAACAAAAAAAATACACTCTCACTCTAACCGCATAAATAAAATTAAATATTATTAGAGGAAATAAAAAAATATAATAATATATTGGGGATGAGACAATACATATTTATGGTGATCTCGTGTCCCGTTTCAAATATATTTAGTCGTATCCTGCAAAATCTCATTTTCTTGGAAAAATTGGTAAAAATGATCAGGTTGAAAGCAAAATTGTGTCTAAAGACCGAAGTTCTTGAAAGGACCAAGCCTATTATTTTAAACAGAAAAGGATGAAGGGAATTGACCAAAATGGTAGAAAACATACAAATCGGAGATGATTTTTTGGTGTCCCTACTACTCATTTCCTTCGCCTTTCCCCTTGATTTCTTAGCTCTCCTTGTTGACATTCTCATTTCCTTTGTCTTTCTCTTTGCCCTCAACATTTGGCGTTCAGTGTTGACTTTGATTCACCTCCATAGGTCTA